AATCTGTACCCCAGGAATCTGAATATACTATTAGTGAGAGCAGATTCCTTAGCTTGCTAATGTACTTTCAGTTTGGCCTCCTATATTTGACCTATAGTCATTAGACCCCTACTGACAAAGTATGCCTCTCCCAGGAGACTGAGTGAATTTCCTGACAAGACCTTATATACATATCTGTGGAAACCCACATTTTGAGATTCTCAGGGGAAGTCTAAGGAGGAGGTAAAAATAATTTCTGAGAATAATTTCTGAAAATAATTTCTGAGAAATTCCCCAAGATTGAGTCTGGTCTACATAAACCCATGGATTACAACTCCATTACCAAAATGTCACAAATTCCAGATATTTCTACAGATTTGTTATACTTTCACCCTCTTCCTTCAGGTACTTATCCCATGGCCTTCCCTCTCAGTTTTTCACTACTTATTGACTCTCCCTGATACCTATAGACTTGTAAGCTCCCTCAGGGCAGAGGGGGCTGTTACATTTTTGTCTTTGAACCCTGAGAGCCTAGCACAGCACACAGAACAATTTTTCATCTTTTAAATGCAAAAAAAAAACCAAAACCTTCCCTTGACCTTGCTATCCCCTTTGCCCCATATCTTCCTTATCTCTTTAACTGTTAGATTCCTATGAGTGGCCTTTCCATTGCTATCTCTACTTTTTCATCACCCAGTCACTCCTCAGCCTCTTACAATCTGAATCTACAACTCTAGTGAAACTGCCCTCTCAAAAATCACTTCTTAATTACAAATTCTGAAGGCCATTTTTTCAGTTGTCATTCTTCTTGCCCTTTCTGCAGCAACATTTAATACTGCCGACTACTACTCTCTCTAACCATGTAGAAAAAATATGTTGTCATTTAAAAGATTCAAACTATTTTACTACAGATTAATAGAACTCTGAACTAGTCCACAGCTCAATTTGATCAATACAGTGTTTTATAAATAAGAGCACCTTGAAGACTTCACTAGCATGAATCACTGATTAACCCCTCTTTATTCTAATACCTTCCCTCTATTGTTTCCTTTATCCAGTATATAGCCTGTTTTGTATATATTTGTTTGCATGTTATCTGCTCCATAGTATTGTAAGCCACTTGAGGGCAATGACTGTCTTTTGCCTCAACATTTTATCCCCAACATTTAACAAATTGCCTGTAGGTGCTAATAAATGTTCACTGATTGATTGATTGGGAGGAGGAGAGTATGTACATCAATAATCACTCAGGAGAGTAAAATTTAGCTCTGCTTGAGTTGAGTAACAGAAATAAAAAGAGAAGACTTCTTTATAGGCACCTAGCCAAAGATCAAATGAGAGATGGAATAATACACAAAATATTATTCTGAGAGAGTTAAGAGGACCAAGGGAATAAACAGCATTTATACATATAATAACACCTCCCTTAGGTACTAACTAAATAACAGATTCCATATCAGAATTGTGGCTCCAAGGGCCACACACATGTTGAATGTTCCAGAGTAAGAAAGAGTTGGTTATATAAAAGCTATGTCTTCTTTATCAGCATAAAAGAAACTGAGGCAAGGTCAGGCAAAGAGATCAACTGGGGCTTGACCTCATCACCAATAGGTCTATTCCAACTAGACCTGTGTCAAGATATTAGGAGAAACTCTGTTTTCCAGAGCTAAGGCTCAGCAAGCAAGCTATGCCCTGAGCTTGGCATAACAACAATCCTTTGGGCTCGCACTCTGGATCTCAGCCTCTGGCAAAACCACATAAATACTGTATTGCTTTGACCAGCATCAGGTGTTGTCTGAGTTCAGATAAGCATGAGACAAGCTCAGACAACTACCCATGTTGGTCATGCAGCCCTGCTAAGAATCAAATGTGTCTCATTGTTGCTATTACCCCTCACTGTCAGTGCTACAGCTCACTGTGTAGCCATTGGTATAAGTTTTGAGATCTCCCCACGCTGCCTCAAGTCCCCCCACCAGGGGTTACCCTCGCCCCCCCCACCCCAGGCTCATGTGTCTAATTTGTCTCCTTATTTACAAGCAGTTTCCCTCACTTTGAAATTAAACTTTTGCTTGATTCCTGACTCTGCTGTCTCTAGCTGCTCTGTGCAGCTCCCAACCACAAGTTAGAGGTCGGTTCGGTCCAGCTGACACTTACATAGAAGCTTATGTTTTCTAGGTGGTAAAGTGGACATAGCACTGGGCCTGGAGTCCTAGACATTCGAGTTCAAATTTGGTCTCAGACATTTACTAGTTGTGTGACCCTAGGCAAGTCATTTCACCTCTGTTTGCTTCAGTTCCCTCAACTGTAAAATGGAGAGAATAATAGCACTTCCCTCCCAGGGTTGTTCTGAGTATCAAATGAGATAATAATTGTAAAATGCTTAGCACAGTGCCTGATATATAACAAGCACTATATAAATGTTAGCTATTATTTTCAGCATAAGGGAAACTAAAGGGGGGGGGGGTGGGAGGAAGCTGGGCAGGGCAACTGACCTCATCACTAATAGGTCTATTACAACTAGATTTCATAGGATCTCATATAGAGGTAAAAAATTGAGAAGATGAACTGCAATGAAGTCCAGGATAGGATCTCAATTTACTAGTATTTTCTAATCTTTTTATGATAGATATTTGAGGATACCTTTAGAGCTGACAGAACTTAGACTTGGTGCTTTGAGTGATAAAAACTAACAATACCTGAGATACTGTATCAAGGTGAGTTTGAGACTCCCTAAGGAAGTTGTTGATATAAACATGAAAATAGTCACTACAACTCTGGTATGTCCAGACAATACAACACTCATGGGAGAAGCACTGATTGGAACTAATTCTAACCTCTTCAAGATTCTAGCAGGATAACTGCAAACAACAAGCGAGGACTCAATACCTGTATATTTGACCATTTGTGAACACTGTGTAGGAATCTAGATAGAATAGAGGTATCGGTGAATACTAACTTTTGAGCGTTAACTTTTTAATCTCTCGACTAAATCCGGACGTATTCTACTGTGGTGATTTGCTGGTACCAGAAGAGTAGGAAGAGTTTAAAGCTGAAACTCAAGAAGAATACAGACATGTTCTCACTTCATGAGCGGGATATAGAATGTGCTCAATGTAAAGTCCAAAGAATACCAATTTAGTATAGTATCTGGCACATAGTAAGTACTTAATAAATGCTTGTTATAATAAATAAATGTTGGGCTATCACTGAGAAATTCAAAGATTATATAGATGGAGAAGTTCAAATGTGTACTGATGATAATACACTGATATATTTGACCAGTGCCAGGTTGGATCTTGCCTGCCAGAGATGCCTAGAAGAACTGGCCAGTTGTTTTAGCATATTATCACAGGTCTGGAAAGAATAATTTGGATATAGATGCTTTGCCCAGATTGCCATTTGACACAAGAGCTGCACTAATGCCAGAAGAAGGTTTGAGAGCTATCTATGATACCCAAGGACCTGGAAGAGAACCAAGCAGAAGCATAGCTGATATCACTACTAGTCCCATACCCCAAAGAGATCAAAGAGAAAGGAAAAGATATGTACAACTTATGGCAATTCTTTTTTTTTTTTTTTGGTAATAGTTGAAAACTGGAAACTAAGGGCATATCCACCTATTGGGAATACTTAATGACCATATGCTAGATTGTTACCAGTAAACCAGAAAAAATAGTTACACATGTAGATTCTAAGTGACAACATTAGAGACCGGCCATGTAAAATGTCTTGCATGTTTCTTGCTGCCTATGTTAACTACTAAATGATTATGTTTATTATTTTGTTTTTCTCTTCATTTGACTGCACTCTGTATTGTGTCCAAATTACAGTAACTATTTGCTTTACTCGTTTTTTGAATACATGCCTATATATAGCTAAACTTTTTTTATATAGGCCTACTTCTAGTGTTATTTTACAGCTAACTAGCATTGCTTTGGTAGTCATGTTTTGCTGTGTTATTTATGGTTAATTGCAGAATAATCAGAATATACATGTACTTTGAGGCTTTGCACGTACTGTGTCTGTAACTTAGGCCACTTGTCACTGAAGTTACCCTTAACAGATGAAAATTCACCTGCTAAATTAATGAAATTCAATGTAACTAATTAGAAAGTTATTTATAAATCCTCTTCATGACATGCAAGGATTTTTTAAAAAAATAATGCATATTTAAACACACTGCTCAAGAGCAAAAAGGGTTTTTGAAACTTAATAGAATTTTAAGATACTATTTATTCCATTTTCATCTTTTTAAAATTTGTATTTTCCCTCAATTTTTCATAATTTGCCCAATATTTTTAGTTACAAATTATAACTATAATTATAAATATAATTAAAATTAATGTTATAAAGGCATTGTATTACTTTGAATATTAATAATTATTGGCTATAATTAAAAATTAATGGTTTTTTAAGTATATGCATGTACAATAGTACCTTTACATAACTTGGGGAGGAGGGGTTTCGTGCTCAAAAACGTTTCACTGACCGATTAAAAATAACCTGGATACTACATTACATCATCACTGCCCTCCAATCCCCAAGGCAACCAAACGGCCCCACAGCACACCCGGAGCATGAAACCCAGGAAACGGTTACTTTAGAGAACCCGCACCGCCCCTACCGGCCTCAACGGCTCCTCGGGCCTCTAACGTTCCACCAAGCACGCGCACGCACGCGCACGCACGCGAGAGCTGACGAGGAAACGATGTCTCCAAAGGGGAACTTCTCCAAAATCTAGCCCCGCCTTATCCCCTCCCCTCCCACTTAACCGACAAGCTCCTCCTAGTCCAACTCCTGACCCTGGTCTAGTGTACGTCATAGTTCTTCCCGCCCCCTGAAACAAGCTTCCCTACGGGCCTGGTAGCTTCGCAACAGGCCTCTGATTGGTCAATTGTGAGGAGCCGGGAGAGCGGATAAGGAAATGAGCATCAGGGGTTGGGCAAAGCTTGGAAACCTTCAGTGGGTTCCACCCCTTCCGGAGAGAGCGCGTGATGAGTGGTTGTTGCTCGTGTCCAATCAACGCCCGGTTATTGGATTCAAATCAAGACCCCTGGGGGAAGGGAGCTCTTAGCAGTTACTTGTAGTTTCCGTCGCCGCTTCGGCTTCCCTGGTGTCTTGGTCGGGGCTGCTGCCTGTCGCCGGCGTAGCTCTTCGGGACTCGGCGCTGCCGTCAGCATGGCCCACAAACAGATCTACTACTCGGACAAGTATTTTGATGAGCACTACGAGTACCGGTGAGGAGCCCGTTAGCAGAGGCTTGCGGGCGGGGCGGGGGCGCGTGGAGAGTGGGTCCAAGGGGCGTCTCCCGGCCGTCCCCTCCTCCGTCTCCCTCCGCGCATCCACTTTGGCTTCCCTTTTTTGTCTGGAGGGCGCCGGGAGCTTACAAAAGCAGCCCGACTGTCGGGTACTGGGCCCGGCCGGGGGACGGGGTTCGACGGGCGCTGAGGGCCTGAGGCCAACGTGGGGAGAGGGGGGTGGGGAAGGCCAAGGAGAGGGACGTGGACCGCGGCTGGTGGGGCCTGGAGGCCCGGCCGTCTGACCGTGCAAGAACAGTGAAGCCCTAGCTAGGCCTTTTAACCTCGAGCCTAGTCAAGTGATTTTTAATCAGTTGTATCAGTTACAACTGCACTGAAGGTCGGTTCTCACTTCACACACCTCTGAGTATCATATCATAGGACTATGGGGCTGGAAGGGAACTTGGAGGTAATAGAATCCACTCATTTTACAAATTGGGAAACTGAGGTCCAGAGGTGACTAGCTGCATGTCTTATTTTACCCACTGAATGTGTAAGTTCGGGGACTGGGGGGGGCGGGGTGGATGTGAAAGGGAGGATTTCCCCAGCACCTGAACAATAGAGGTTTATTTGAGCTTTAAAGCTACTTTGGTGCCGTGGATAGGACCCTGGAGGCAGAAAATCTTGAGTTCACATCGTCCATCAGACATGGTTTTTGATCCTGGCCAAGTCTCTTAAACACTTTGAGCCTCGGTTTCCTCATTTTTTAAATGAGGGAGTTGGACAGCATTGCCTCCAATGTCTCTTCCAGCTCTAAATCTGTTTTCCTACTAACTGAATTAAGCTATGACTGTTTTGGCCACAGCTTCTATTTTATAGTTACTTTTTCTCTTCTTCCCCTTCCATCTTCACCCAAATCAAGTTAAACTCTTCGAGTTATGCCTTGAGTTGAATAGGGGTTTCATTTATATTTTGTCTGCATTAGTTGATTTTTGCTTAAGTAATAAGCCAGCATTTATTTAGGGAATACTCTGTGCTCGGGAAAACTGTCCCAGCCCTTAAAAGAGCGGGCCTCGTTCGAGGAGCTTAAAAGCTGGACTCCCCCAAGGCAACATGTACTTAAATAGATGTAAGCAAGATGAGATATAAGGTAATTTTTGAAGGGGTACCGAAGCTGAGGGCATTAGGAAAAGTCTCTTGTAAAACATGGCTCTTGAAGGGAGCTTTTAAGGAAACTTAAGGATTCTATGGAATTTTAATCAGGCGAATGGTCCAGGTAGGAAGGAAAATCATAATCTCTTCCTCACAAAAAGTCCTGTGCCATATTTCAGGGGCTGCTATTACAGGTAGCTCAGAAAACTTACTGGTGACTGCCTGGGTAAATCCACAACTGTGAAAGAAAGAATTCACATCATGCTTCTACTGACTCTGAGAGCCTATCACTTTGCATTTTCACCTTCTTCACACCTAACTCAAATCAATCAATCAAGCATTTATTAAGCAGCTTTACTAGTCAGAGACATGATTGACATGTTGTCTAGAAAATCGCTAAGTCAAATTTTGTAAAGCTGTAAGCTTTCTTGAAAAACTTGAGTAAAAAGCAGAACTTAAAAGACTTGAAAAAGTCTAAGTTAAATGCTATAATCTCATGATTATTGACTTGTAATTAACAGAAGCTGCTGAGCCTTTAGTTTTTAGTATCAGACAGCAATATGACCCATTGAAAAGAAGTAATTCAATCAAGAACTTTCCTTTTTTTGGTTCACACCTGTGGTTTCATTGGTGTAGGGAACTGCCTAGCAAGGAAATTTCTACTAATGCACATTAGTGACTCTAGTAACTTTGTTTTAGAGAGTTAACTGGAATAAGTTTAAATTACTTACCTAAAGGAGCTTACATGTTATATCTTTCCATGATATAACAAAAGGTCAGTTTAACTTGCATTCTACTATATTTAGCTTCCATATCACTCCCTGTGAATTAGGACTTAGATTTGGGGGGGGGGGGGTTGGCAGTGGGGTTAAGTGACTTGCCAGGAGTCACACAGCTAGTGTTTTGTGTCTGAGGCCGAATTTGAACTCTGGCCTTCCTGAATCCAGGGCCAGTGCTCTATCCAATGGGCCACTAACTGTCCCTAGGACTTAGATTTTAAATTGATGGAAACGGCCTCGTGTTATTTTGTAGACTTGTTCACATAGTACTATAGAGTACTATTTTTGTACTATTTAAATTTTAGTTTGAATTTTGCATGTGCCTGCAACTGCTACAGCTATAAACATCCATGTAAAGACCTTTGGAAATACTTATTAAAATTATTATTTTGTTAAATTAGCATTAGATCACTTGAAATGACCAAAGAGGTTCATGACCTAGTATAAAACTTATCATTAGGCAGGTGTTCTCAAAGTACATTGATGAAGTATTTATGAAATTGCTGAGTTTGGCATATCTGCATACATGTATACACAGACACACATAAAGTTTTACTATGCATCTGTGATAGTATGTATACTACAATCAAACACTAAATTTTTGAGGAAATATCTCATGAAATTTAAAATCTGTAGTTAGGGTTTCAGTCTTGTATTTATTTATTAGTCAGACTTTTTGTTAAGTTCCTACAGTGTCCTGGGCAAAAATTACTTTTCCAAAGGGAAGACTATTGACACCTAAGGACTGGTAACATACCATTGGTTAGTAAACATTGCTAAGCATTTATAGTTCTCAACTATACTGGAAATAGTTCTTATTTCTACTAGGCTAGTTAAGTAAATGAGTTAGCAAGATTGGTCAGGGAGCTCTAACATGTATTATCATAGGTTGTATTTTAAAAATGTAAAGGTCACTGGTGATTTTCAATGCTGCCTTTGTTACAGTGATGTTACAATAAGATAATTCTTTGGGGAGAATGGCTTCAAAAGCCAGTCAAAACATTCTGTGGTGGGGCAGCTAGGTGGTACAGTGGATAGAGCTCCAGCCTTGGAGTGGGGAGGACCTGAGTTACTTACTAGCTGTGTGACCCTGGGCAAGTTACTTTAACCCCGATTGCCAAAACAAAACAAAACATTCCATGGAAACTGGAATTCCTCTTAAAAGTCCAACCTCCCATTTGCATTCTGGTAAATGACATTATGAAAGATAACTAAGACTTCATTTTATCCTAGAGCAAGTAAAAAGTGATCATCATGGCTGCCACGTGACTAGTCAGAGCCAGATACCTAGGGAAATGTACTCTCAGGAAAGCCCTTCTGGTTTTAAAAGTGCCAACAGAGAGAGTGAACAGCAGAGGGAAAGTATGGTTTGTTTAAAAGTATTTTACCTTATGATAAACTGTTCTAGGAGCTATTTGCATATATCTAATGTATATTAGAAAAGCACAGGAACTGAGCCTGATCCACTGTGCCAGGGCACTTTTCCAGCTGTGTAAATCTTAAAGGCTGGTACTTCACTCAGAAGAATTGCAAAAGAAAAAGGGGCTGAAAAGTAATGGGTAAAATAAGTTAAGTATTTAATACTTCTTCCCACCTCGTCTTACCCTTCCCATCCCATTAATTCTGAACCTCTGGTTGTCATTCAAACCCCATTCTCTACCCAACTACCTTCTCTTTTGTTACTCCTCCCTCTTTCTAAATCCCATCCCCTCCTACCCCCCACCCCCATCCCACTTTAAAGCTATCCACCCCTTCCAACTTGAGTTCTGGAATGCCTGCTCTCTAAGTAACAAACTTACTTGCATCTTAAATCTTTCCTTTCCCTACTCCATCAGTCTTCTGGCTCTCAGAGACCTGGCTTTCTCTTGATGACAAAGCCTTCCATGGCCACCCTTTCCAGCATTCTCAGTTATTCCCTCCACACAGTGGTCAAGATAGGGGAATTGGAATACTTCTTGCTTCTTCAAGCCACTTCAGGGCAATCCCTCTACCACCATCATTCAGTAACTTCTTTTGAGATTCGCAAAATCAGTATCTACCAGCCAATTAAAATTCTGGTAACTGCTGTCTATTGACCACCAGGATGATACTTCCCTTCTTTCCCCAATGAGTCTAGAGCCTGGTGCAGTCTTTCTCTCCTCTCGAGCTCCTACCCTATACTAGGATCAGCATATGTAGAAACCTCTCAGTTTCTAAATTTAGTCATTTCCTAAGACCTACTTCAATCTCTGTCAGCTATACATAGAGGTAGTCTTATGCTTGATCTTGCAATTATCGTACATTCCATGTTTGTGAACTCTGAAATTCTCCCTTTGATCATAATTTCTTGTCATTCTATCTCTTCCTTTTCCTTGCAGCCCCAAACCTTGTTCTTTGTTTTCACCATGACTCCCAATCCCACCACCCCTCAATTCTTTCCTAGGCCTTCACCTCTGCACTGAAGTCTGCTGCCCCCATTTCCTCTCATTGATCTTGCTCTCTCCAGCCTTATCAGTCTAATAGTCAAGCATCCTGAAAAATAAGTCTCAGTGTTAGCCACTTCTGCAGCATAAGCAATATTGGAGTATTAATCAAAATACTAGCCTGTCTCTTAGTTGCTTGTTGAATTGAATGATGTATAATCATTTATTAAGTAGCTATGTTCAAGGTACAGTATATATTGTTTTGATACAAGTTCATTATACACTTGGTCTTATTATGAGACCAGGAGCTTTGGCAGAGTTCTTTTCTTTTCCCTAGTCAACTATCTTTCAGATGGCATGAGAGCCTAAATTTAGACCTAGTCCAACCTCTTCATTTCATAGATAAGAAAACTGAGAAAGGAAGTGAATGGGCCACAATCTCGAAGCTATTCAATGGCAAAATAGCATCTAAACCCAAGTCTACTCACTCCACACTCAATCCTTTGTTATCATTATTATTAATACTTTTAATAATTTTGTTTAAAAGCAGTGAGTACAAGTAGAGCACATTCCTATTTACAACGCCTTTCTTCACAACATCCTTGGGGGAAAAAAGGAGATAATAAAACTGCCCATCTCCATAACACCTTTGAACTTGTACTATTTGGGTGATAGTTGACATCACAAAGCTAGAGCTCAACAGAAAAGAATATGTTCACTAATACTTATAGATCAGGAGGAAAAAAGGAAAATAGAGCAATCAAAATGAGTAGTGATTGATTACAATGAGAGAAGCAAGAGATAGAGGGGACTGCCAACTTAAGAAAATCAGTCTGTCCCTTGTCTTTGTAGAAGCTTTTCCCTTGCCATTTCCAATAGTCAGGTTATTTGCCAGTCCCCAGTTCCTCTTCCAAATCAAAATCTTAACTGTTCAGTACTTCTGAAATTTATTAGGACTTGTTTTTGTGATAGGATTGCTTAAAAAAAAAGTCTGTAGTTTCAGAAATAACATTCTGTAATGCCTTGTGCTTTTCCTCAAATAGCTGTCCTCTAACATTTGCTGAATCACAGAATTTCAGCTTTGGGAAGGTACCTTTGTGACCATCTGATTTAACCTGTAAGTTGGAAAAAAGTAATCTTTTGTAAGTCATCCAGCCTTTGCTTAAAGACTTCAGGACCACCCTACTTGGGGAGCAGTTCCACTTTTGGATAGCACCAAAGTTTCTCCTTAAGCCTAAATTTCCTTCTTTTGTAAGTGTAATCTAGGTGACAGCTTTTCAGATATTTCAAAACACTTGTCATCTCCCCTTTAGTATTTGAATCTTCTCTAGCTAAACATCCCAATTTTTTAGTTCCTTTAACTGATCTGCCCTGCCATGATGAGTACTTTTGGAAACTTTCCAGTATATTGGTGTTCTCATCAAAGTGTAGTGAACAAAAGTAAAAACAACACTCTATATGTCCTCTGACAAGGTCAGAGTCCACTTAGAAGCAGTTGGTATTACAGTGGATAGAGACTGGACCCCGAGTCAGAAAGACCTGAGTTCAGATATAACCTCAAGATACTTTCTAGCTATGTGACCCTCAGTACCTCCACAGACTTCTATTTGTGAAGTTGATTGTTTGAATCCACCTTTAAGACTTTACATATGCCCATTTTTAAATGTTATTAGATTCAACCCTATGTCCCAACATATCAAGTTCCTTTTAGTTTTGGATCTTAACTCTGGCTTCCAGTATGTTAGTTGTCCCTCCTAAATTCAATAACATGTTCAAGTCTACTAATGCTACTTAAGCTTTTATCCAGGGCATTGATTAAAAAAAAAAAAAGCTAAGCAGCACAAGGGCCAAGTACAAACCAAGTTCCTGGGGCATTCTCTTGGAGACTTCTTTCCATGTTGACATTAATAACTTCCTTGGGTCTAGCTATTCTACCACTTCTTAAGCTATTTAATTTTACTATCATCTAGCTCATATGTCTTGGTGTTTTCTTATAACCATAAATCACAGAGTACTACTTTATATTCTCTTAAGAATTGAGAAGCAGCATGGAACAATAGGAAGATGACTGGATTTGGAATGAGACGGTTCAAAACCCAGCTTTGCCATTTACCATCTATCTGATCAAGCCACTTAATTTCTTTGGGTCTAAGCTTCTTCACATGTAAAATCAGAGCAGAACACTTCTGAGCTCCCTTTTAATTCTTAAAATTATAATCCTGTGTTCTTAATTATAGATTGCTAATAAAGATAAGAAAATGATAAGGAATCTTCCAGTCATATTTCAAAGATCCTATGAATAGTTGGTTAAGTCACAGCCTGAATTAATTGAATTATACTTAAGTGGAACACTTAGACATATCTTAAACAAGAGGCCTGAATTTTGTTTTTGCTCTTTTACTCAATCTGTGACTTTGGGTAAATTAATTTGACTTTTGGGCCCTAGTTACTGCATTCATGAGGCATCCAACTCAGAAAACTGTTATTACATGTGCTTATTATTTTTCTTTAATAGGCATGTTATGTTACCTAGAGAACTTTCCAAGCAAGTACCAAAAACCCATCTGATGTCTGAAGAGGAGTGGAGGAGACTGGGTGTCCAGCAGAGTCTTGGATGGGTTCATTATATGATTCATGAGCCAGGTATGTTTTATCATTGAAATATAAACTTTAAAATGTCTGTTTTGCTTGGCAGTCAGCATCTTTTATTCATCAACTAGGATAACAGTGAATACACTTATTTGGCATAATTTATCACCTTATTATCAGAGATGCCTTCTGGGGTTTTAACCAGAAAGAACAATGAAGAACCATGGAGAAGAACTTCAGAATTCATTTATGTCAAAAGATATTGCTCTTCTTGGCTAATAAAATAGTACATATAATGTTTATTCTTTAGGGGATAAAAGAACTAGGATGGGCAGGTAGAGGTGTTACACTAAGTGTTTTCCTCTTGTAATAAGCAGTTAGTACTAGTAGACAAGAGTCAGCTATTGGTTCAGTGGATAGAGCAATGGGCCTAGAGTCAGGAAGACCAGAGTTCAGATCCAACCTCAGACACTTAATAGATGTGACCCTGGGCAAGTCACTTAACCTCTGTTTGCCTAAATCCTGGATAATTGCCTTGTTGTGACAAAAGATGATCCACTGGAAAAGGAAATGGCAAACCACTTCAGTATCTTTGCCAATAAAACCCTATGGCTCATACTGTCCATGGGGTCACAAGAGTCAGACACAAGAACAACTAGTAGACAAGAATTTTCTATATAAGTTTTTCCCCTGGTAGATAAATATCCTTTTCATTTAAAATCATACCTTTAAGTTGATAGCTATATTTTATAATGGAGAAAATGACTTTTAACCTCTGTACATTTTAAAATTGTTTCTGTATGAAAATATTTTTTAGTTTAAGAGTAAGTTCTTTACTCTTAAGGCACATAAGCAGTATGCTAGAGTTAGAATGAATGTTGTGTACATGTGCGCATACACACGTTTGTGTTGTAAGGGGGGAAAAGCTTAGTGTGATATTCAAAGAATCTGTTCTTGGCCATGTGCTGTTCTCATTTTTCTCAGTTATTTGGTTGCCCAATGGCTAGTGTTGTAATTGGAGTCAGGAAGACCATAGTTTTAATACTGCCTAAGCCCCAGTTTCTTCATCTGTAAAATTGGAATAGTAATAGCACCTACCACACATAGTTATTATGAGGATCAAATAAGATAATATCTGTGAGGTACTTTGCAAACCTTTAGGTTCTATATAAAGTCACAGATTGAGTAAAAAAGCAAAAACAAAGCTTGGCCTTTTTATTTAGATATGTGTGATTCAAGTATTTTAAAGAAGTGCAATTAAATTTTTTAAAGAATTATTTTGAAACTGGGTGATCAGTCTATAGTTGTAGGGCTTTAATAAGATAAGTATGCTTTATTTTCAGAACCATCGGAGGGAAGATATGGGACTCATAATACCAAAATTTCTTGTATATTTGATACAAGTTCTTTTACTTTGAAATATATCTGGGCATGTGCATTTCATGAATGCTTAGCATAATTATTGAACTGTGACTAACAAAAATTCCTCCTTTGTCGTCTGTTTTCAGTGCTTACAAATATTAGACTTAAATTGTATAACTATGTGTTTGAGAGTCCTGAATAATATATTTCAAACAAAATGATGAATTGTGTAGAGAAATCTGGATTAGCTTAAGGGGTATCCTACTTCTATTCTTTGTTCCTTCTAGAGATGTAAACAACAGCAACAACTAGAACAGTACTGCCCTATATCTAACACTATATGGCCCATCCTTAACATTCTTTGTTCTGCAGAGAAATATTTTTAAAACGATATCGATTGCTGAATTTTGAATTCTTTATTTAGCTTTGCATGGCTTTGAGTGTCCAGAAAGTTGCTGGTGTTGACTCTTTATCTTCTAGGCATGAATTAGTCCGGGTGGGGAATGTCTTTTTATTTTGGTACTTCCTTTAAGAAATAGATAAATCCCCAGAAATAGAAGGGTCACGATCAAGGAACTAGACAGTTCCATCCCCTAAATTTTCCTACTTCCATACATATAATGTAACTAGCTGAAACAGCTTCGGATAAATTGCCTTCCTTCTATGAAAAATAGTAGAGTATTCAATTTTTTTCCTTCTGAGTCACTAAAGTGGAAGTAGGTAATATGGTATAGCAGAAAGAACACTACATTTGGAATAGTTTTTAAAAAAAAAAAGGTCTGCTTTTACTTACTACTTTTTGAGTTGTCTGTGCTTCAGTTTTTTTATCTCTCAAATGAAAGGATTGGATCGACTAGATAATGCATAAACTCACTTCCACTCCAAATCCTATAATCTAACCCATGAGCATTCCCTGCTTGAGGGGACGGCCAACCATACCATTGCCTAACATGGTTTCTTTGTTATCCTACCTTTTTACCCTTGGGTAACTGAAATAACATTTGGGAATCATATTTATTAAGTTAAGCCTCAGAAACACCTTTTCTCCCTTTTCCCATTGTCATTCCATAATGAATTTTGATGAGAATTTGATCACTCAGACATTTTTGAAAGTTCATTTAATCAATCTGTGGAGTGCATATTCCAATGATGATGATGAAAATTGACTATGCCTCCTATACACTTTGAAAATAATCTTGTTGTTTTTTTTCTCCACAGAACCACATATTCTGCTCTTTAGAAGACCTCTTCCAAAAGAACAACAAAAATGAAGTTTATTTGGGTTTTTCACTTAAATTTTTTTCAAACTATGTATATGTGTATATATGGTAGTATTCAGTGAATACTTGAAAAAATGTACAAATCATTCATCCATACCTGTGCATGAGCTGTATTCTTCACAGCAACAGAGCTCAGTTAAATGCCACTGCAAGTAGGCTGCTTTACGATGTTTAAGATACAATTTTTCTCTAGTCAGTTTTTTCTTTAATATAAGTGCCTATTTGACTTCTCCTTCAATTACATTTGTTTAATAAAGTTCATATGTTACATGTATGTCTGAGTACTTGGTAATTGGGGTAGGTGTTCAGATGTTCAAATTTTCCATTGTTAATTTATAAATATGATGTACAGTTCTTTCCATTGTTCTAGAAATTTATAATTCAAGGAAATAAACTCTTTAAAAACAACGTAGAAAAAAGTTAAATGAATGTTAAACTGCATGGTACAGTAGAACTAGCATTAATTTGAACAATTAGTAACAACATCTACTAAAACTGGAAGGTCCCTGCCACATAGGCTAGTTTTTTCCCTAAAAGGCAATGAAACAGTCCTCAAGACTGAATTGGCCTGAGCGGGGAGTAAGGGTCAAATGACACAGTTTACCAGTTGCCTAAACATAAAACCCTAGCACAGGAGTAAAGGCTTCTCAGGCTTGTTGAACTTCTGTGGAAATACTGTGACTAAGCATGCTGCCATGACACATAAAGGTAGTGGGGTGGGCAGGGGTGCAGAGAGGAAGCTGCCTCCAATTGAATCCACTTCTTTACTAATTACTCTTTCCATGCTATTGTTGAGTAAACTTTTGTTAAATGTCAAATGGTCTACAAAGTGTCTCTTTTCATCCCATTCTAAAACCTGAACCAACTTAACTATCTTGAGTCAGGCTTGGCCTAGAACATTTAGGGTACTGGTAAGATTAGATTAGATCAGAGTGACCTCGTGGATGAAGGGAAGGATGCTGCAGCTCATGAGAAGGTTATAATCTTTTCAATGGAATAAGGAGATATTCTCCCCCACTGAATTGTAATTTAGCCCATTATGAAAATAAGAGCAAATGCACTGTCAGGACATTTGTGTTACTAAGGGCCTTAGAAAAGCTGGATCACCATCATAAGGAAAATGAAAGTAAACTGGGAATCCAACAACTGGAGAACAATGTGAGTGTGTCCTTATCCTTCAAAGATGGCCTTGAAGGCAAAGGGGTAGCGGTATGTAGTCTGATCCAAAATTCCACTGGAAAATTTAGTGAGCCACAGTAAAGAGCTATAAGGGACCAGGCGCAAAGTAAGTTTTACTACTTTCCCCTCACAAGGAGTGACTTCTTCCATGGAGGTGGTTAGAGGCAGGCTTTCATCACCAAGGAAATAGAAGGTTTCAGGACAACTTTAACCTAATGAATAAGACCAGAAAAATGGTGAAGGTATCCTCTAATGGGGCCGATTTAGATCTCTCTAGTGTACTATTAGCTTGGGTATTTCACAGATGCCTTGAAAAAAATAAAAATTGAGCGTCCTAGATAATTATCTTTTTGTCTCAGGGAATTGAGCATGTTTTTAAGTCATTTTTCAGTCATGTCTGACTCTTCGTGATTCTTTTTTGGGCTTGGTAAAGATATTGCATGGTTTGCCATTTCCTACTCCAGCTCATTTTGCAGATGAGGAACTGAGGGAAACATCCAAGTGACTTGCCTGGGGTCACACGGTATCTGAGGCCATATTTGAACTCTTAAAGATTAGTCTTTCTGATTTCAGGCTCAGTACTCTATTCGTTTCAACACCTAACTTGGGCATACCTGACAAGTAAATTATCTTGCCTGCCAGTTCCCCTTTGGCAGAGTTAGCAATGGAGGGAATGAAATCCCTAACAGAGATGGATTTGATGAGCTGACTTCCCCTATCCTATGACCGAATAGGGCCGGATACAATTCGATTCCACCTTCTGGTATACCACCCCAGTGGTATAAGGTTTTAGTCATGGCTTCCCGTTATCATACCACATAGGTATGGGGTGAACCAGCAGATTTAAGTAGAAGTGACTCTACAAGCCGATGGGAGGGCAAAAACAAGAGTTCTGGATGTGGCTCTGGAAACATGAAGTTGGTCAGGAGAAAAATGACCAGCCTGTGGAGGTGTTAATACAACTTAAAACATCCAGGATGGTGCAATAACGGTCGTTCAATCCCATCCCAAGCCTAAAGCATCCCCCAAAATCCAAGCCCTTTTTTTTGAAAATCATCCACATTACAAGGTTATTCTAGGAGACCCATCAAAACAGTCATTGAATTTTCATAGGGATTTCTGGGAGCAGACCATGGAAGAAAAGGGACATAAACTTTTGGAAAAGTCAATACCTGTATGGTTGGTTAAGGCAGCCTCTTTGCTAGTTGTAGATGGGGCCAAAATGGAAACTTTGACCTGAGTCAAAGCTCCCTACCAACTGAGATGAATGTAAGCAGTGGGGAAGCTACAGCACTAGGATATAATGTACGTAATGTGCAGAATACACTTCTTGAGTGGCAAGAAGCCTTATCTCCCACAAATAAATTTTCATTGCTTACTTTTTGATCACTGCAGCCTGTTGCTGCAGCCATTTGAGTACTTTTTCCTCCTCTTTTCCATTCCCCTTTATTCCATTAAGTTACAAGTTACACACACACACACACACACACAGAGGGATGCAGAGAGACCGTGTATGTTTGTGCACACATGTAGATAAGTGCAAGAGGGCATGGAGTTAGAGGACAAGAGGAGATCCTCCCCTTTATATCACCTATGTGTCCAGCAAAGAAAGAAGCACTTCTTGGCTTAGTGTACCACAGGTTATTGGATCAAGTCACACTGCTAACTGTAACACTGGGTGAGACACATGGAATTGTCAATCTCAATGCCTTTTTATCTATTATTATAGCTAAGATTAGTCAAGAATAGTTTGCTTCACTAGGAGAGTTCAATATACCTTTGCCATACTTCCCCAAGGATGGGAAACCTAATGGGAAATCACAATCTAAATTCTCCATCATATTGCCACAGTCTGGTGGGCAAAGAAAAGAAAGAAGCTCCACTTCCTGGGGGCATTGATGTTGCCCAATACTGGTAATTAGTGGTATTAAAGCTAGTTATGTGGTGGAAAGTCCCCTAAAAGACCTTTTAGCACCTTACCATCAAGGGGCAGGGTGTAGCAGGGATAACATCTATTAACATGAAGATCCTTACCACATAGGTCAGTTTTTCCTGAGAAGGCAATGAAACCATCCTTGAGACTTAATTTGATTCAAACTTCCAAAACAATGTCCTGCTCATCTTAGGCATAAATTCTGAGTGCATGAGTATTTGGGCTTCACATGTGTCCCTCTGTCATGTGAATCAACACATCCTGACCAGTTAGTCACACTGATGAGGTTTTGGGTCGCTGGGACCCCGAAAATGCCAATTGCCTGAAGTGAATTCACACACTCAAGTCTTATCTTAGTCAAACAAAAAGTGTATTGTGTGCTTTACACTTTAGCAGAAGCAGACACGAGTCCTTAAGGGAATCTGCACCCTAATGGGAGTGAATCTAGAGTTTATAGGCATTCCTTTCTCATACCTCTTCTATATAAACTATATAGAAGAAGTAGGACTATGGGATTAAGACTGTTGTATTTCCCCTATGATCCCCCATCTTGCACAGAGTACCTGATCCATTAACATTTGCTTTTTAAAAATCTGTATCCTGATGTTTTCTCTCATATAATTTATAATTCTGATGAAGGTACAGCTCAACATTCTGATTTTCTTTGCATAATGCCGGCTGAAAGTGTTGATGTGTTGTATCAAATTTTGCTGAACTGTTTTCCCCTCTTTTTTTTTTGTCACAAAGAATATGTTGCTGGAGAGGGGAGGGATATAGTGTCCCAAAAATCTTGGTGCACTTTACCCTTAAAAAGTAGTTTAAAAGCTTTAATATTTTTAAAATGGTATTTTTTAAACAATTAATTACCATAATTATTAAATACCCAAGAAATGTTTTAAGCTTTAAGAGCTTAAAATAGTAATACTTTACTATCAAACTACTATTACTAATAAGTACTACTTAAAAACCACTTTTTACTTAAGCTTTAATAGCTCAAAACTGCACTAGAACATTTAGGACACCCTATACTTGGAAATAAAGGGGAAGTAAGAATACAATGATCAATACTTTTTAAAAATTTGATTCTCTTTCCTTTTCTGATGTCAAGAATTATCAGTGGATTTTAGAGTGGGTAGGCACCCGCGGGTGGAACAGGAGAGAGCTACTCTCTAAGCTGCAAACATGCCAGCCCACGTGCGCCCAGCCTCCGGCGAAGAGCGCAAGCGCACAGAGGGCGAGCGGGCAGGAAGAGAAGCGCGGCGTCAAGGCGTGCGTCGCGCTTCTGTGACGCACTTTCCTCGCGTCGGTGGAAAAAGGAAAAGCGAAGGCGGAGGAGGAGGAAGGAGGAGGGAAGGCGCCTTTGCTCCTCTACCGGGTCTCCTGGGGAGCAGCCTCCCCCTACCCCTCCTCCGCCATGGCCTCGGAGGGGAAAAGGGAGCCCGATAACGAGGTAAGGGCGGCAGAGAGGGCATTTGGCTGCCCGTTAGCCCCGGGAGACCAGCCCTCCCGAGAGTGCTGACGCGCCGCAGTTTGGGGTCCGGTTGGGTCTTCCCCGAACCCCCTTCTTGTCGGCCCCTGCCGGGGCTGCCTGCGGGGAAGGAGGAGGAAGGGACCGTGCACCCCTGCAGCGGCCTCGGCCCCCTCACCCCCCCGCCCCCCCCCACGGCTTCTGGAGTCCGGGCCGGGGTGTGGGGCCGACGCCGCTCCCTTTTTTGGCTCCCCGGTGCGGGGGCCGGGTGTCCCCGTTGTCCCTGGCCTTTCTCCTGGGCCTTGAGGTAGTCCTCGGCTCGGTGTTTGCTTGCGCGCCCGTATGCGTTTGTTTACGTTTGTTCTCTACTAACTTAAAACCACAAACTTTGAAGTAACCGTGGCCCCAAGTCCAATAAGGGCATAGCGATGCTGCCAATCTATTATGTTTTTGACTGATGAAAACATAAATCGGTGACGCATCTGAATACTTACCCATGCCATTGTGTGACATTATTCTAAGACAGGGACGATAATAGTAAATGTTAGTTGTTATAGTCAGAGGCCAGGAGTCAACAACAGCAACAACATTAACAAAAATCGAACGACTTTCCCAGCATTTAACGTTATTTTAATCATACCAGGGGGAAAAGTAATTACTGTGCTCTGCCTGGTGGATTGAGAGCTGGCCTTGGAATCAGGAAGCGCTAAGTGCAAATGCTGCCCCTGGCGCATGCTTCCTGTGTTACTTTGGGCAGATCATTGAACCTTTCAGTGCCCTGGCCAATTCTGTAATCCAGAGCATAAATGTCAGGGTAGGTGACAACCTACGGTGGAGTAGATGGAGTTTACTCATTCGGGAAAATGAAATCAGACATTTCATAAGAATCAACTAAATTCTGCAGGGATTTGGCATCTCAAAAAGAAAAAAAGCCATTAATTTTATAAAAATTACCCAAAGTTTTCTTTTTCTAAGCCTTTAAAAATATACTTGAGATTAACTCTAACCACTAGATGGAGCCCTGGATTTTGTGTTCCGTTTGTGTTTTTTTTGGATGGGAGGGGTTGGTTCAACTAAAAGCTGAGTAAATTGATTAAAATATTTTCCTATAATGATATTTATAAAAGTCAGCCGCAGCAGTTGTAGAAAAACTCTTGAAACAAGGGAATAAATAAGAAACAATCCTAGAAGTTGTAGTGTTTATGGATAATTGTATAGAATATTATGCCAGAATTTGAATTTTAATGGTTCTGATATGTCCATATTTAAGAGGATATGGTTAATTTAGAGTTCTCACAAGGTATCCCACTAATATTCAGCAAATCCTGTGATCATTTATTAAAGGACATTAAAGGATCACTTAGCAGAAAGTTAGCGTTTTGCTTTATTTTAAGCATATTTTTATGATAAATTTTTGCATGTGTTTGAGTGCATTTTTATTAATTTGTCATATGTACTTTTAACTTTCAGAGTAAACTATCATTCCTTCTTAATCATTCTTTACAACAAAAAATGAGAGATGAATATATCTTTTCCCAGTTTTGAAAATGAAACTTAAAGAAATTCCTGGCTGACCAAGTCACAGCAGATTGAAAACATGATATAAATCTTTTAAGTTGCCTGATTCGTTCTTCTCCCACTTTATTGAATCACAATCAAAATTTTTGAACTCTTAACTGATACTGATATTTCAAAACTATACTTAATAAAAAGTATAGAGGGAAAAAAAACTTTGGTCAATAATGTGTTTTAGTTGTTTCAAAAATATGAGGGAACCTTTTCTTCAGCAACACAGGGAGCATCAGTTGTACCCTTGTGGTGTTTGATCTCTTTGAGAATTTTTTGTATGTGTGTTTTTTCAGTTGATTTCAGAATGCATGTAGCCAAAACCCCCTTTTTTTCCTCAGGGCGGCATCAAGTTATCAGCAGATGTCAAACCGTTTGTCCCAAAATATGCTGTGCTTAATGTGGCATGGTCAGAATCCTCAGACGCATGTGTCTTCCCTAACTTCGCAACTACATGCTATCCATTTGTTCAGGAACTACCTGTGACTGAGTATGTATCTTTCTAAATGTCGCGCCTTATAGAGGGAATTTATATCTTGACATCCATTAAGTTTCCAAATTTGCTGCAATTAACTTAGTGATAGGCTTTGTGTGAGGATAGATTGGAAACAGGTCTGGGATATATTACAATATCGTGATGTTATGTGTGGTATGACATTACAGTATTATACACTGAAGGACTAAGGCTTGAGCTGGGTATTTTGTTTCTGTGGAACAGTGAGCTGTGATTTTAACTACAGTGGAAAAAGAAGCAAGCAAACCCTTGAGACTGGCTAATTCTTGGAATATTTGGTTGCCGAATGACTCAATTCTGCGTAGTCTTCAAAAGTGATCATATGTAATGGAGAGATCTAATGTTTCATGGGATGTTGAGGGACTTCAAAGTATTTTCATGATTTATTTTCATATCTGGTTATGCTGAGTAGTTTTTGCTTAGTACTTCACTGAAACCTAGTTGTACAAAAATTTAATACTATCCCCCTATGTTCCTGGGTTTCATTAGTGAAGAAGATGACTATTTTAAAGTTTTAATTAAGTAGGTATTGGTTTTAGGTGGCCTTCTGGTCTTTACCTCTCTTCTCCCTTTACCTTCTTGAGAATTTCCTTATCTTACAGGAATCAAAAAAAATCTCATTTTCACTTAAATTTCCTCATCTCTCAAATGGATTGATAAACTAAGACCCAGTATGGTTAAATGGTTTATTCTAAGGTTTGTGCCAGAGCTGAAATTATCCTTGCTCTTAGTCCAGGGTGGGCTGCCAATTAAACAGCCACGTGATTTTGGGCAAGTTAATTAACTTCCTGAACTTTTGGTTTTCCTCTAAGAGAATAAGGTTAATGAACTCCCAAGATTTTAGGATTTTCGTCAGTTCAGTAATCCCTAGTTTAGAATGATTATTTCATTCTTGAAGGGTCGGAATACATTAGAAATTATGTTCTCATTTTTGCTGAATAGAGTGGACCACAAAAGCCTATTCAACTATAGTATAGCAAATGTAATTGTAAGACTGATTGTAGTATGACTATTTTCTACTGTGAGAGTTGGGGGGCAGGGGGAGGTGCAACTTTTCTGGGAACCCCTGGAGAGAACTGTCTGAGTCAAGTGGAGGCAGTAGTGAGTTGCTTGTTGGGGATTACCAGTAATTGCAAGCAGAAACTTTGAAAATTTTTGCACTGTTAAGCTATAATACATATTTTCATTTTAAAACATTTTGTTTTACACAAATTTTGAATGGATAGAAAAGAAGCTATAGTCCTTTAAAAACTATTTTTAAAAAGCTTAGTTAAGCTAGGCATCCACAACTGTAGTCACCCAGAATGACTGTCTGTGGCACTTAAATTTAGTAAAATACTTGGCAACCTATCTCTTAATGTTAGATTTACAAGGTTATGGTCCTGGTCAGTTTTAGTATGTACGTATGACTCATTCACGTGCACTGCTCCATTGTGGACCTATATGCGATCTATGAATCATTTTTCCTGTATCTCTACTTTGGTGATTGTTATAGTGGAAAGAGCAAAATTTTTTATCTAAAAAATACAGCAGGTTGTCAGAATATATATGTTGTTTGAAATTTTCCTTTCATTAAGGTCCTATTTTAATACTTCATTGTGGCATAGAGGTGTATTCCTTAAGTCTCAAAGACCATGCTGATGGTGGACTTGCTCTGGCTGGTTCTACTAAGCTGTGAAGTCTGTGAGTAACAGGCCTGTGTTCTAAGTCCAGCCTAGCTAAATTTGGAGAGATTCCTTACTAGGTTGACTATAGGATGAGGAATTTTTCAGCTGTGACATTTCTTGAAGACCATCTATGAGTCTGTAAAGGGATTGTGATCCATGCCAATGAAGGAAGTACCGACACCAACAAAATCAGTTTTGAAGTACTGACATAAGAACTTTGTATTTGAAGATTTGAAATAATAGGATGAGTTGATATATTTAGTAGTGAAATAATATTAAAAGCTGTGTTTGCCAAATTACCTTTAAAGAAATTGAAGTCATTTCTGTATGTGCATTTATTGATGTGACATCACCTCATAGGGGAGTTTGGTGTAGAATTGCTCTCAAATTAAATTCGTGTGGGGACCATTATTACAGAAGTCTGAGGAAGCGTGTATTGAGGCTCCCATCTGAGCTATTGTGGAGGAGGGAAGCATTTACTTAAAACAAAGTGTAACATTCAGCAGAGCATCTAAGTCTGAAAAATCAAATGGATGAGTCCATAGGTGGGTCACAGTGAACTTGAGCACTATTTTCACCCTATTCACTTTACCTCTTATTAGTTCAATGTCAGTCAGTCTCCCTCTCTCTCTCAAATTAACTAGCAAAAAAAAAAGATTTTTAGAAAGACAGTCTTACTAACAAAAAGCAGTATAGGCTAGAAACACTAAATCAAAGAGTTAGAAGGGACCTTTGCCTTCTCCTTTCCTTCCACTTCCTACTTCATTTGTGGACATAGGGAAACAAACTCCACCGTTTTGAAAAATGCCTCATTGCATTCAAGTATGTCATTAACTCATCAATGATTTGAGTGCAACGATTACATCAGCCACTCTGTGGGAATACAGAGATGATGGTTAGTATGCCTGCCCTTCTGTTTTGTCATCGGGATTGACTTCTTTGTTAATGACGTGTAGCTATTAAAACCCATTATGTCTGCATGAAACCATTTTCTGTGGGCCAGGGCATGGAAACAATCATCTTATATAGAACCAGACTTTGAAAGTGGTGTTTATTAAAATGGGATTCTAATTGTCTTTATAATACATCAACAACATCATTATAAAAACATGTTCTATAAATAATTTTCATCTTCTAGCCCATAGCTTTGTCTATCTAGTTACAGAATCTCAGAATTGAGAAGTCAGGGATCTTGGTGGTCATTTAATCCAGTCAGCTTGAATAGGAAGTCCCTCTACATTTCTGAGAAGTAGGCATCTCACTTTTTGCTTGAAGACTTCAGGTGATAGGGAACCTATCTCCCATCTTGAAGAAGTTCTAATTGTTAGGAAGTTTTTGCTTGTGTTAAACCTAGATCTAATTCAAAATCATTCTGTTGCTTCAAGTTCTGCTGTGTGTGGCCGAGTAAAAACAAGTTTAATCTCTTTCTTCCATATAGTCTTTCATATACTTTAATACATTTGTCATAACAAAGATCTTCTTGCCTTCTGAAATTCATCCTGTGGATTAACTGGCCATCCCAGCTTTGTGTCATTTTCGAATTTAATGAGTTTACTCTTAAAGTCTTCAAGTCATTGTTAAAAATGCTGAACAACTTAGGGCCAAGAAAGGGATTCCTGGGGCCCCTTAAGTTGATATCAGTATGTTAATGACCACTTTTGAATCTAATTATTTGGACAATTCCAAATTATACTATCTAGGCCACGTTTCTTCCCATATTGTCCACAAGAATAGCATGTGGAACTTTATCAGAATATACAGCATTCTCCCTACCTACCAAAGGAAATTGTTGGTTTTGAATGGTCTGTTCTTAAAACTATTGGCTTACTATCATTACCACTTCCCTTTCTAAATATTTATAAACCTTAAAATCTTTTTCTTCATCTTTCATATCTATGCCATTTCTTCCAAGTTTTTTTTTACATCCATCCTTTTATCTTCATCTTTCTGCTTAATCTACTCTATGCCCCCATCAACACTTGATTTGATTTGATTTACTGGGTACAATATACAGTTTATATAAACACAGATTTAGCTTTCCACATCCAGAACTTAGTATGAGAGTGATTTCCACTTTAAAATTGTTGAGGTTAGAGTTGCAGCTAAACATTTAAGTAGAAATACTATTAAGCAGTTTAGAGCATGGATTTTGATTTTGAGAGATTATATTTGAGATTTAAATAATTTGAAAGGGTGAGCTTTGATAGGGAAAAAGAAGAGTTGAGAACTGAGCCTTAGGGAAAAATTGAGGGGTCAGGAAGTGGAAAGCCTTTCAGAATAAAATTTTCATAGTTTGGTGTTAGGAGGCCCTAGGGCTTGAAGAAATTGGGAATGGAAGTCAGATTGTCCAGAAGGCAGTGTATGCAAAAAATAGGAAAATGGGAGCAGCTTAGTTAAATGACGAATTTTTGAAGGTTGTAGAGAATGTACATGTTTAAAAGCAGAAGCTAAGTAGTCTATAGAGGAAAAGGATGGTGTTTGTTAGCATTATTGGGCTTTTTATTCCTTTCAAAGTCTGTTAGGTGTTTGAAGGGATGGAATCTAACAAAGAGTTGGAATTTTTAATTTTATAGAAGAGATATCACTTCCCCAAGAGTGGAGGAATAGATATTTAGAGCTAGAATGCAACTTAGAGAGCTAACTCCCTCATTTTTTTTTACTTTTTTATTTATTTTTTTTAACTCCCTCATTTTAAAGAATAAATTGAAGCCCAGAGAGTCTAAGTGATTTATCCAAAGTTGCACAGATAAATAAATGTTAAAAATCCAAACTAGAGCACTGGTCTGACTTTTAGGTCAGTGTTCTTTCCACTATATGGTTGTGGCTAGATTCTTTTTGTTCTTTTGTCCTTTTCTCATATATTATGCTTTTTCTCACCCTCAAAACACCCCACTCTCGCATGAACTCTTTTTAAAAACTTGATAATATCTACTAAAACTAAACTGGGACATTTAAAGATGCAAGACTTCAGTAAAGGAATGAGTTTGGGGAATATGGAATGCCTATGATGCCTTTCTTTTTCTCCTGGACACACAACACTTTTTTTTTTTTTTAATTCATGTGGCTTCTATGTTGAGAATCTACTAGGTTATCAGTTTGGGTAGGGAAGAGGATGAATTGCAGAAGAAGTGTACCTAACCCTAAAAGAGTGTTTTAAGTATGTTGAATAGTGTTTTTAAAGAAGACTTCAAATAAGCCTGTCACAGTGTATGTTTAACTGCCAAAATGAATGGTTCAGACTGTAAGTAATTTTTGTTAATTCATTTTAGGAAGACTTAGTATCAGCTCTCTTCTTTCCCCATGTCTTGCGAACTATTTGCAATTTCTAGTCATGTATTTATAGTAGCATTATCATACTACCAAAAAATAATTTGTAGAGCTTTTGAACTTCGTGATGGGATTTTTACTTGGGTTTCTAATTAATTCCTGGCCAATGGTAATATTATTTTACTGGTTTATTATCAGAAATTCTTTGCTATGGTTAACTCACGATGAATTTTTATTAGTACTGTGTGTACTATGTGATTGTCACTTGCTGTAAAGAAAAATTATATTAGTATCTAAATGATGTTTTTTACCCAGCTGCTTTCCAGATTTAGTTTACTTGTTTATTCTGCAATAACTTTTGACTCATTTTTGGCCAAATTTGCTCTATTACCAAAAGGTAGGTATTGATATATAATTTGAAGTTGTAATTTAGTCTATCATCTTGAGACAAAATGGCATCCAGGGAAAATTTTCAGTGACTTTTCTTCTGTAATTTTAAGGGTTCTCAACAAAATATCTGTAAGATATTGTAATGTGTATAGAACACATACTGGGTGAGGGTTAGTCAACCATCTTAAAACAAATGGTTAGTGTTGATTTGTACCAAGTGCTAGTGTTTCTTTGGGCAAAAGTAGCCCCATTACATGCTGTTTGATGTTGTTTTGTTTCTATATTGATTACAGGCTGCAGTTCACAAACCATAAGTATAGTATAATATAGAGTTGGAGAAGGTTATGTGGAAAAGTGGATATTTTAGAAGAACTCTCAACTCTACCGTATTTGCTGTTAAAAAACAAACAAACAGACTTGAGAGAACCTTTGAGTTGGGGTATTTTGGAGAGCCCATGGCAGATACTGTTACTGGTTGTTGCACTTTAGATTTTTCCCTACTGTCTTGGTGGCTTCGGGATAGGTAGCAGTGATGGGCTCCAAGACTTGAGTTGTTTTGAGACAACTATGATTCTGATGGAATTGTATAATAAGGATGATCTAGTGATTCTGTACTAATATAGTCTTTTTTATGGAATATTAAATATGCTTCTATTTAGTGGTGTTTTTTATTTCATGATTTATTAGAATCTATGAAGTAGTTGCATTATTTATTAGGATTCCTTGCTTTCCCCGCATTGTTCCCAGAACAAATCTGTCATTTAAAAGCACGTAATGTCTAAAGAGAATTATGAGTAATTTTTTTTTTTGTTAAGTGCATCTGAAAGAAAAACCTTTCTTCCGTAGGAATATGTTACATATGTGAAATTGGCTAAATTTTGCAAAATAAGAAATTCTAAAATATTTATGAAGTAGTTAACCCTGTTGGCTAGGAGTATTTAATGGCTAGAATTTAAAATTTTCTAGAGATTTCAGAAATCTAGAACTCTAAGTAAAAATGTTGTGATTATTTCCTATTTATTAAGTATTAATCTCTACTTGCTTTGTAATGTATAATCTTCATTTAAAGTATACAATTTTTATTTAGACAGAAGGCTTATACCGAAGATGTCTCTCTTGGATCTTCTTCACCTTTCTCATCTCAATATTCATCTCCTGATATTGCTGTTGATCACCAGTGCACCTCTTCTCATTCATCTGTGTCTACACAAAATGTTTGTTCAGTACCTGGCTCACAGTATGATTATAACCACCCTAAATGTTATAGTAATGTGCGAATAGTTAAATCCAGAAATGAACAAATTTGTTCTCTCCCACAAGAAACTAAAAGCCTATTTAAGGTTAGTAGAGGCTGTATTTTTATTATGTTTTTTAGTTTGTAATTATAATATTTATAAATAATAATCTGGTAAGTACTTCTTATAATACAGGCATTGTTTATCCCTTTTGTTAAGTATTTTAAATTGGACATTAGGCTAATCTTGAATTTTCTTAAAAATAATTGTCATCTTTTAAAATGATTTTTCTTGACAATGTATATTTTGAAATATTTTTATACGAGCATTTTTCTGATTTCATGTCACTTTAATCTTTCCTGCAGAAAAGAACAACATGTAATGAGCAAAAATTAAACAATAAAGGGACTGAAGGAAATTCATCCTCTGCTATAAAACCAGCTAAAGGTTGCCATCAGATTTATACCTACACTGAAGGTGGTTCAAAATCAGGTAAAAAGTAATTAGCCATCAACATTAATCCAGAATACAAGCAACAGAATAACAAAAGGTAGAGATTGCTTGCAGGTCTTAAACAGGCCATTTGACCTAGACTAATGTCCCTTGTTCGTTAAAGGTGTGTGAAGTTCGGTAATTCTTTTTCCATTGAGCAGTTTTATGTTTCTTTACCTTCCTGATGCCATTTGTGGTCATCCTGGCAATTTCTGATGGAAGAATTGGTGCTATAGCTGTTTTAATCAGTGATTTGGCTGGTGCAGAGCACTCTGGACTGAACTGCATTGTAAATTTGACCACAGGACCAAAGTATCATATTTCCTAATTTTCCAGCTAGGGATTTTTTAAAGTATGGCAAAGAATGTAGGTAGTGATCTAAAGTAATGTGTTAGTTGCTTTTATTTGAAATCTCAAGTCTGTTAGAAGCTAGATGATTTTAGGAATACACATGTGCTCACAGACTAATATTTTGTCTGACTTTTGATTTCATCGGTATAGGAAGTTTCTGGTGAAGAATTTCCTTTGCTGTAAAGCAAATCTGCACCTTCTCTTCACCTTATTATCTTAGACAATTGCCTAGGGCACTAGAGTGACTTGTGTGCAATCATATAATCCTTGTGTGGTTGAGGTGAGATTTAAATCCAGATCTGCCTGACTCTTGAGACCAACTCTAGCTTATATATGGGGTTCCTAACCTTCTTTAGTCCCCAGCCCCTTGCCTTTCAGTAAACTTTACCTCCTGTCCAATATGAAATATATTCTAGAATTTCCTATGTGAAAAATAAAGATTTCATAAAGAAACTTATTCCACACATAACATTTTTTTAAATCATTAAGCTTCTTATGTACCTGGCACATAGTAGATAACTTGATAAATCCTTGTTCCCTTCCCCCTACAATACTTAAATATGAAATTCATAAAATGAAAGGCACATATCATGAAGTTACTAATGTCTTTCATAGTCAAATTAGTGAGACCATCCATTCCTTTTCTTTTCAACCAACAATTTTATTCTCAGTATAATTTTTGAAAAATAAAAACTTACATATCATGATCAACCTCTGCTTTGTTTATTGCTTTGTGTTTGACTGAGAATCCTAATTCAAAGAGTTAAGTTGTGAATGAAATTAAGTCTTGTGAGCATAGTAAGGAAGGGATATGTTTCTCAAGTTAAAAAAATGTTGATTGATAGGGAATTAATTTGGATTTTCTGGTTATTATGAAGATCAATGAGCTTCTCACTGGGTTATAGCTGATTTTTCTAGCTCACTGTGAAAAAGGTTTCATAGCTAAACCTCGATCATTTAATTTTGATCAGTGAGAATTATTCCAACTTTATCCTTCAGTTTTTTCAGATGACTTAAAACCTCCCTCTCCCACCTTACCTTTGTATCTTCACTATTCTGTGAAGGTATAATGAGTTCAATTTTGAGTATTGAGTTTAATTTGATAAACATTCCATCTCTGCCTTTAGAAATAGCTACCATTGGAGAGACAGAGCCAAGGTGGGAGAGTAAAGGCAGGAACTCATGTTAGCTCTCCCAAATTCCCTTCAGACAACTTCATAATAACTCCTCAAAACAAATTCTGGAGCAGCAGAACTAACAGAAAGTTGGGGTGAAACAATATTCCAGCCCAAGACACTTAGAAGGTCAGCAGGAAAGGTCTGTCTTACCTAGGTGAGAGTAGAGCTCAGTGTAGTGCAGTGCAGGCTGTGCCCCAAAAAGCCAACAGCAGGTCTCAGGAGGTGGCTCCATCAACAGCAGTGCCTTCTGGAGCTCTCAGCCAAAGATAGTAAGGGGAGGTGGGATAGCTGGTTGGTTGGAAGGAGATTATGGGGGACCCTTTGCTGGCACTGGATGTAGGACTCTGCTGCATTGCTCATGCGCAGTTCTGGGTCACAGTCTTGGAGCAAGGAAGGGCACTAGGTCACTATTACTTGTGGCTTCAGGGGAGTAGGGACCTGGTCACAGTTCCAGGGTGGAAAAGAATGATTATGGTCACTCACAGACCTGTGCACAGGCCAGAAGAGCAGTGATCATACCATCTTGGAAGAACCAAAAACTTGTAAACCCCCAGAACTAGCTCTGAAAACAGCAGCACGAAAAACCTGAAACTTGGGACAGTGCCACCTCCACTCCAGGAGCAGAGTCTGACTTTAACATAAAGTTAAAAGTGAAGAAATAGGCTGGGAAAATGAGACCAACAACAAAAAGGAACTTGGCCATAGAAAGTTACTATGGTGACAGGGAAGATCAAGATACTAATTCAGAAGAAGACAGTGAAGTCAAAACAGCTACATGCAAAGCCTCAAAGGAAAAATGTGAATTTGACATAGGCCCAAAAAGAATTCCTGGAAGAGTTCAAAAAAATTTTTCAAAATCAAGTAAGAGAGGTAGAGGAAAAATTGGTGGGAGAGAGGTACAAGAAAATTATAAAAAGAGAGTCAGCAACTTAGTAAAGGAATCAAAAAAAAAAAGTTGAAGAAAGTAACACTATAAAAAACAGAATTGACCAAATGGCAAAAGAGGCACAAAAATGCACTGAAGAGAAGAGCTCCTTAAAAGCACAATTGACCAAATGGAAAAAGAGGGACAAAAATTCACTTAAGAGAAGAATTCCTTAAAAAGGAGGTACAAAAGCTCACTCTCAGGATTTACTCAACCAGTATATAGAGAGATCTGAGGGCACTAAATATTTCATTAAAGATAGTTAATTATGAGGCTCAATAGGTCTACTTAAGTAATTTTTTACTTCTACCTCCAGTTTCTTTCAGTTGTTGGTCTATTAGATTAAATTTGTAAGACTACCATCAAATATTTTTGCCAGCTTTCATTAAGTGTACTCATTTCTTGGCCAAAATCCCGTCACCCCATGGAACCATGGTCCAGAAGTCCAAAACCCATTCTTACAATAAGTAGTACTTCTAGATCTTTATATGTTGTACTTTTACATGTAAAGATTGTAACTTTACTATAGCAAAAGTTAATCAGAATTGTTTGAAGAAGATATAGTTATCAAGTTTTTGCTACTTTAGTATTTATCTTGACTGAATATAATCAAAATTTTTTGAACTGATTTTACACTTAATTTGAATCCTATAATTACAGAGGTTTGTCATAAACGTGCAGACAGGAGACCTAAAACCAGCCGAAAAAATGTGTCTTCTTCCAAACCTGAATTTGAACTTAAGCTGTTGGATTTTCCTAAACTGCAAGGCTCTCAGAACAGTGACATACCTGAAGTACAAAAGCAACCCAAGTGGGGACCTTTGAGCTCCACTGCTAATGATATATCCCTCATAAGAGAAGTAGTGAAACCTACATCAAAGGTTAGTTAAGGTTTTGTTGCTTGTGCTTTTTGTTGTCAAAATATCTTATCATTAATTTGAACATAAACTTCTTTCAAATTAATCATCTCCTAAAACATTACTTCAGCTTTTAAAAGCTGAGAAAATAGAAAAAAAAATCTGAATTGTTCCCTTCATTTTTGGGTGTACAATTTCTGTATCATCTTGGGATTTTCTCTTCCTACCCTTCCCCCCCCCCAGCCATTATTGTTATTTAAAACATAAAAATTCAAAAGTATTGTTTATAGTCTTATTTATGGCATTGAAAATATTTTATTTGAGAATGTTCATACTGATAAAGGTTGGGAACCACTGTTTTAGAACACAGATACTATAATCATAGTTGAGATAAAAAATTATTTTTATTTTATAAACAATTCTACAGTAATTTATCTTGCTTTAACTTTTGTGGCAGTAAAAAAAAAAATTATGCTTCCTTGTTCAGAAGTTGCAGTTCAAAAGTAAAGTTGATCTTAAAAACAATGCTAGCGGGGGCAGCTAGGTGGCACAGTGGATAGAGCACCAGCCCTGAAGTCAGGAGGACCTGAGTTCAAATCCAGACTCAGATCAAACACTTGACACTTACTAGCTGTGTGACCCTGGGCAAGTCATTTAACCCCAATTGCCTAAACAAAAAAAAAAATAAAAAAATAAAAACAATGCTAGCAATAAGGTTGACCTCTTTATGTTATGGAAGCTGTAAATATTCAAGCTTAGTCATTATTGTAATTACATAGCATTCAGTTTCTTTTTTTGTTACTTGTATTTGTGTCATTGTAGTTATGTATATTGTTTACTTTGCAGTATCGCTTCATGTAAGTCTTCCCCATGAATGTGGCTTAATTGATTGATTTCTATCTCATATAATAAGAAAAATACCTGTTTGCTTTTTAGGAAGAATTAGTTGTGAAAGCTGAAACAGCTACATCTGAGCCTGAGAATGACACCAATTCCCCCTCTTCTACAAGAGGTAAGAGTGCCTGTATAGTATTTTAAAAAATATGAGTGATTTATATGAAGTCCAGATTTAACTGACTAATCAGCTAATTTTTATTATTTTCCAAAACATTTAAAGGATACTGAGGAATTTTTGAACAGAAAAAAATCTTAAATCATGAAAATGAGTTCCTGGGCTTAAAGTGAGCAAAGGAAATGTTGCAAATATCTGGTTTAGTAGCAGGACAGAGAGAGAAAGAGGGAAACTTTAAAAATGAAATATTTTGCAATTATGTGTGAGATTGAATGGAGTGAAATGCTATTTTATCAGTCTTGACTAGATCCTTATATAGGAATAAAATGTTCTGAGAGGAGTTTAATATAGTTATTTTGTTCATGTAGAATGAGACTAAAATTTAATAGAGTATTCTAAATGTTTCCATTTTCAAATTACTCTTTATAAGCAAACATTCAAATTGCCTTTATTTTAGATTTGTTAGATTTTTTAAAAATGACTCACTTAAATGATAATTTAAGGTGAAAAGTACAAGAATATTGCTAGCCTATTTTTAAATGATGTAGAACAATCTGTCTTTTCCCTTGTGGGATAATCACAAGCTTCTGACAGGTGTTTAGCTTATAAAGTTCACCTGCCGATATCTTGATGGATGTCCTTTTGTTTTGTCTGTGTATAGAGTTTCATGGGTACCTAAGAAGTAGTGTTGCTGTACTTATAACTGTGTTCTAAAAAAGAGATAAATTACCAGTTGTTGTGATAGCTGAAGTCTAGTGATCTTTGGCTTCTGATATTAAAAGGTACACATCAAGGTTAGTAAGGAAGCAATTTGATCTTTAGCTTTTTAATTTTGTGTGTTTGCCACATGGATTTGTGGTCTGTTGTTTTTTAACTGAACCTACTGTTTGTCCTTTTTTCCTGAAGACAATAGTGTTGTTCCTGCCCCAGTTAGATTAACCTTACAGTTACTGTAAAAAGTTTGATATGCATGGAATGAGGAAGAAAATAGTTTAGTGAAGGCTTAGTTTCCAAGGAGAAATTTTGAATAGCAGCCCAAATTTGATTATGCTTTGAGAAATTATTTTATGTATTGCATGTTGAGCAAACAACTAGAACTTTTTTATTTAGTATTTTGTTTTTCCCCAATTGCATGTAAAAACAATTTTTACCATTTATTTTTAAAACTTTTGAGTCCAAATTCTCTTCCTTCCTCTCTCCTCACCTTCCTCATTGAGAAAGCAAGCAATTCGATAGAGGTTATACACATGTAGTCATGTAAAACATATTTCCATATTAGTCATGTTGTGAAAGAAAACAAAAAAACCCTCAAGAAAAATAAAGTTTAAAAAGTATGCTTTAATCTATATTCAGACGCCCCCAGTTCTTTTTCTGGGTATGGATAGCATTTTTCATCATAAGTCCTTCAGAGTTGTCTTAGATCATTGTATTCCTGAGAATAGTTAAATCATTCACAGCTGATCATCTTATAATATTGCTGTTACTTTGTACGTAGTACATTTTACTTTGTATCAGTTCATTTAAGTCTTTCCAGGTTTTTCTGAGAGCATTCTGCTCATCAGTTCTTAAAACACAATAGTATTCTGTCACAGTCACATACCCCAGTTTGTATAGCCATTCCCAGTTGATGGGCATCCCCATAATTTCCAGTTCTTTGCCACCAGGAAAAAAACAGCTGCTATAAATGTTTTTATACATATAGGTCCTTTTCCTTTTTGTTTTTTATCGTTTTATCTCTTTTTGGATGCAGACCTAGTAACAGTATTGCTAGGTCAAAAGGTATGCATGGTTTTATAGCCCTTTGGGCATAGTTCCAAATTACTCTCCAGAATGGTTGAATCAGTTCACAACTCCACTACCAGTGCATTAATGCCCCATTTTTCCCACATCCCCTCCACCATTTGTAATTTTCCTTTTCTGTCCCATTAGTCGTTATTAGGCATTAGTCCATAATAGGTATGAGGTAGTACCTCAGTATTGTTTTAATTTGCATTTCTCCAAATCAGTAATTAGAGCATTTTTTCACATGGCTATAGATAGCTTTGATTACTTCATCTGAAAACTTAATATCTTTTGATCATTTATCAATTGGGGAATGGCTCTTATTTTTATAAATTTGACTCATTTCTCTATATAGTTGAGAAATGAGGCCTTTATCAGAGAAGCTTCCTTCAAAATTCTTTTCACAGTTATCTTTGCTAACTGTATTTCCCCTATCCCTTCGCCCCCTCTCCATTTATTCTCTCTTTTCTCCTTTTACTCTATTCCTCCTCAAAAGTGTTTTGCTTCTGACTACCCTCCCCCACTCTGCCCTTCCTTCTATCTCACACACACTCACTCTCTCTCTCTCTCTCTCTCTCCCTCTCTCCCTCCCTCCCTCCCTCCCCCCCCTTACCCTCCAGTTTTCCTGTAGGGTAAGACAGATTTCTATACCCAGTTGAGTGTTTATATTATTTCCTCTTTGAGCCAATTCTGATGAGAATTGGAATCCCTCCCACCTTCCTTATTTTCCCCTCCACTGTAAAAGTTTTTTCCTGCCTCTTAGTAAGACAATTTACCCCATTCTACCTCTCCCTTTCTCCCAGTGTATTCCTCTTTTTCACCCCTTAATTTTTTTCTTTTAAAAAGATTTCATCCCTTTATATTCAGCTCACATCTGTGCCCTCTGTCTGTATATACCCCTTCTAACTGCCTTATTAATGAGAACATTTCTATGAATTATAAGTATCATCTTCCCATGTAGGAATGTAAACAGTTTAACCTTAAGTCTGTTATGATTTCCCTTTCCTGTTCACCTTCTCATGTTTCTCTTGAGTCTTATATTTGAAAGTCAGATTTTCTATTTAGTGCTGGTGTTTTCATCAGGAATTCTTGAAAGTGTTCTGTTTCATCAAATGTCCATTTTGGATTATACTCAGTTTTGCTGGATTCTTGGTTGTAATCCTAGTTCCTTTGCCCTCCAGAATATAATATTTCAAGGCCTCTTATCCCGTAATGTAGAAGTTGGTAAATCTTGTGTGATCCTGACTGTGGCTCCACACAACTTGAATTGTTTCTTTCTGGCTGCTTGCAATATTTATTCCTTGACCTAGGAGCTCTGGAATTTGGCTGTAATATTCCTGGGAGTTTTCATTTTGGGATCTCTTTCAGGAGGTGATCAATAGATTCTTTCAGTTTTACCCTCTGGTTCTAGAATATCAGGGCAGTTTTCCTTGATAATTTCTTAAAAGATGACATCTAGGCTCCTTTTTTTTTTTATCATAACTTTCAGGTAGTCCAGTAATTTTTAAATTATCTCTCTTGAATCTATTTTCCAGGTCAGTTGTTTTTCCAATGAGATATTTCACATTGTCTTCTATTTTTTCATTCTTTTGGTTTTGTTTTATTGTTTCTTGATTTCTCATACAGTTGTTAGCTTCCATTTGGTCAGTTCTAATTTTTAAGGAATTATTTTCTTCAGTGAGCTTTTGTACCTCCTTTTGCATTTGGCCAATTCTACTTTTTAAGGACATTTTTTCTTCACTGAATGTTTGTGCCTCTTTTTCCATTTGGCTGGTCAAACTAGAACATTTTAAAAACATAGTTTGAAATTTTTCAATAATTACTATTATTTTTGAGCAGAGCTATCTTGGACACCAATGGGTTATGTTGTTCGGCCAACAACCACTGAAGCACCAGCCCTTAAAAATGTTACTTCACTGGTAAACACAAAGAAAAGTGGTTCATCAGTAACCCCTAAGAAACTTATTGCATCATTCTCATCTCCTGAAGTTCTAACTACCAATGCTTACAACAAAGAAAAACAAATAGCTTGGAATTCTAAAAAGGTATGCAAAATATATTCTGATTGTCTCTTTGTTGATTTTCTCTATAAATATCCCCTAATGAATCCTATTGAAAAATTGCTTAATATATGTTAAATATGATGTTGTTAATATGTTGATATTTTGGATCTAAATATAATCCATAAAGGAACTACTAACAGTTAAAAACTAATAGAACATAGTGAGTTTTTAAGACAAGTGCCTTAAACACTGCGTTATCAGGGAATTCCACTGTATTTTTGCTATTATTGCAGAAAAGGTTTGGTGCGTTGTACCTTGGAAAATCAATAGAATGTCAATTAGCTATTACACACAAATAATTGGGTGAGACTAATACCTCCAATAGCAAAGAATGGTGATTCACCATCACTTACTGAATCAAGAAAAAGCTATCAATCTGTCTCTTTTCCATGTCTTGGGCCAGAATCCTATTGAGTCAAATTAATCCAGAGTCTTCACTTATGCTGGTGTTCTTCCATCAAGTTTCAGCTTTGCAACCATATGTTTCCTGGAACCCAAAGTGTTTGAGACTCTAGAGGCTTTCTGGTGGATCACAGAAGTTACATTGCTGAATTTCTAGTTGGCATTATTTATGGATGGAACTGCATTCCCGGGAACATCTCGTATTAATTCTTATCTCTAAAAAACAAAAATTCTTTATAACAAATAGATAAAGTCAAAATGATAGGATCAATTTCTACTGAGGTTCCCCTTCCTACCATTGTGTAGGTTAAGCTAGTTCTTTTCCTAAAAGGCAAAGAAGGACTTAGGTGGCCTGGGAGACTAAGGCTTAATTAGAGCTACTGTTGATGGAAGTTCCTGGAGTCTTCAGACTGTGTTGATGTGGTTTCTCTGTTCACCTAAGGGCACAAAAGTCAAAGACCCTTCAGACTTAGATTATCCTAAGGCATTTTAATATACACAAAAGTTGATAGTTTTTGTGGGTTTTATTTTATATCCTGCTACTTTATGGAAGCTATTGTTTCAGTTAATTTTTCAGTTGAATCACTAAGGTTCTCTGAGTGAAATTTGTTTAAAAAACAAAAACGGTGATAGTTTGGTTTCCTTTTTGCCTTTACGTATATCCTTAATTTGTTGTTGTTTTACATTTTATTGTCATATGTAACATTTCTATAGCTATATTATATATTTCTCTAGCTATAATTACAGTGGTGACAGTGGTCAGTTTTACCCATGATCTTATTGGAAAAATCCACTAGCATTTCTGCATTACATATAATGTTAGCTTTGGGTTTTTACTTTGGAAAGGTCCTTTTTTCTATACTTATTAATGTATTTGTTTTTTTCATAAATAGGTATAATATTTTATCAAGAGCTTTTTTTCTGTACCTCTTGATGAAAGCTTGTTTATATTTATAGTTTTACTAATATTGAACCAACCCTGCAGTCTTGGTATAAATCCAACCTAGTCATAGTGTGTAATCTTTTAATTATATTTTTGTAAACTTTTTTGCTAACATTTAATAATTTTCCTTTGATAACTTATTAGAGGTATTGGTGTATAAATTTTCTTTGCCTGCTTTATTACTCCCTGATTTAAGTATCAGAACCATATTTGTCTCATAAAAGGAACTTGGTAACATTCCTTCTTTTCCTATATTTGTGAACTATTTTTGCAATATTGTAATAAATTTTTCTTTGAATATTTTATTTAATTCATTTGTAAGTTCATCTTCTACTGGGTTTTTCCTTTTTGGGAATTCATTTATGGATTGTTCAATTTCTTTATCATAAACTGGGTTATTTAAATTCTCTTATTCTATTAATGAGGATATTTTGTATTTTTGTTAATATTAATGCATCTCATTTAAATTACCAGTTTTGTTGGTATATACTTCGATATAAATAGTTTTTAGTAATTTTTTAAATTTCCTCTTCATTTGTTTTGAAATTTTCTTATTTCATTTTTGATATTGGCAATTTGGTTTTACACTCTTTAAATCAGATTAACTGTGGGTTAATCAGATTAGCTAAGGTTTGTCTTTTGTTAATGTTACTAAGAAGCTACTAGATTTTTTTTCCCCATTATGGTTAGTTATTTCTGCTTTTTTGCATTTTTATGAGGTTTTTATGCCCTACCACATGGTCAGATTTTTATAAAGATCCTTGCGCAGCTGAAAATAATGTATGTTGATTTTATTTCCTGAAATTATCTTCTTCTCACTGTCTCCACCCCCCATATCCAAGCTGTTACCAGCATCTGTCGATTTTACCTCTACACCATCTCTCATGTATGCCCCCTTCTTCCTTCTGACACTGCCCATCACTCTAGTTCAAGCACTCATCACCTCATACCTGGACTGTAGCAATAGCCCGCTGTTCAGTCTGCCTGCTTCAAGTCTCTCCTGACTCCTTCATTTGGCCAACAAAGTGATTTTTCTAACATGCAGGTTTGACCATGTGATTGGCTTCCTCTTGCCTCCAGGATCAAATAGAAAATGTTCTGTCTGGCATTCAAAGCCCCTTTATAATCTTGCCCCTTCCTACTTTACCAGTCTTTTTATACTTTTCTCTTCACCATGTACTCTTTGGTCGAGGGACACTGGCCTCGTAGCTGTTCCACATTACAAGATAGTGCAACTATTGGCTCTTGGCATTTTCTGTGGCTATCCATCATAAATGGAATGCTCTTTCCTCTTCAACTCTACCAGATGACTTCTCTTGCTTCCTGTAAATCCCAGCTAAAATTCCATTCTGTCCAGGAGTTCTTTCGCAACCTTTATTAATTCTAGTGCCTTCCTTCCATTAATTACTTTCTTTTTAGCCTGTATATAGTGTGCTTTGTATGTATGTGTTTGCATATTATCTGTCCCAGTAGATTGTGAGCTCCTTAAGGACAAGGACTCTCCTTTACCTCTGTTTGGTATCCCTAGTGTTTAGCACAGTGCCTAGCACACAGTAGGTATTTAATAAATGTTTATTGATTGATCAAGTAATTAATTGCCATAGTTTTATTGTATCTAATTTTTCTAAGATTCTATTTGGACTCTTCTTTCTTGTTTATCTTTTTGTTAGATTCTTCTGCTTCTGAAAGGGGTTTGTTGCGATCCCCAACTATTAAGGTTTTGCTGTTTCACCCTTTAACTTTTCCTTTAAATTAAAAGTTCTTAATCTTTTTATGTGTCACAGATTCCTTTGGCAGTCTGGTGCCCTTAGAATATTTTTAAATGCATAAAAAAATTACAATGCATTAAAATTACAAGAGAAACCAATTATATTGAAATGCAGTTACCACAGTATTAAAAAAAAAAGTTCATGGACCCTAGGTTAACCCTTGCTTTAGATGCTGTGCCATTCAATGTATATATTTCAAGTATTGAAATTATTTTGTTATCTATGATACTTTTAAGCATGATGTAATTATTTTTACTGTTACTTTGAGATTGTGATTACTGTTCTAGCTTTCATGAATTTGCCTGAATTTTTGTTTCAGGTATATTACTTTTAAAACATTTCTCTTCTTTGCTGCTACCCCCTGCTCTTTCTCTTCTATGCTACTACCTTCCTGCATTTGCAATTATGATTGTTTATTATGGATTTCCCTCCATTATTTACACTTTACAAAAAGAATGGTGAAAGAGAATGAGTATAATTAACACTAGTAACCTGTAACTGAAACAGTCTGCTCCTCCTCCTTGTGACTGTTGTAGTATTTTCTCCTTTGACTTAGAATGGGTGCTCTCTACCTTTTTTGTGTCATGGACCCCTTTGGCAGTCTGTTGCATTTTGTGGAGCCTTTCTCATGTTTTTAAATGCATAAAATAAAACATATAGGATTAAAAAAGAAAGTGATTATATTGAAATAGTTATGAATATATTTAAAAAAGAAAAAGAATTCACAGACCCACTGAAATCTGTCTACCAAACTCAAGGTCCCAGGTTAATCCTTGAAATAGAAGCTCTGAACTTTGGCAATGACATTCCTAGGTATTTTTCAATTTGGTGTTTATTTCGGGATTTGTTATTTCTCATTTTCACTTTGCTTTCTGGTTCTAACAGGGCAGTTTTCACTTATGATTTTATTAAATATGGCATCTAGGTTTTTTGTTTTGGTCATAATTTTTTAGGGAGTCTGATGATCATTAAATAATTCTCTCCTTGACCTGTTATTCATATTTTTCTAATTTTTCATTCATTTAGCTGTATTCTAATACTTCTTTTTGTCTCATTGAATCATTCAGTTCTTTTTGCTGCATTCTGGTTTTCATACTTGGGGAAGGTTTTATGCTTTTTATTCTAAATTATTTATTTATTATCCCTATAGGGCCTTTTTTTCTTCTCATTTTTTCTAGCTAATCAGAGCCATTGTGGATAAGGCTCTGCTTATACTCATCGTTGCATCACTCTCTTTTGGCTTTACCTTTTGGGTGTCTCTTAACCCACTTAATTTCTTTTTGCATTTGGCATTTTCTTATTTATCATAGTATTTGGATTGAGATTTAGTGATAGATCCTGGCTATCCACCCCTGTACTCTTGGAGCCTTATTTGGTCCAGTACTCTCTGTAGAGATGACACTACTGCTGTTGAAGTTCTGGATGATGTAGCTGGGACCAACCATTGCAGTCCCTGACATACGCTTCCTCTTCTGGTGGCCCAGTGAAAGTTTTGATATTGGCTCAGCACTGTCTTTTGTCCCTAAATAATCCTAAATTGGACTTTGGATCTGTTGTCGATGTCATCTAGACAGACTAATGTTGAGTGTGGGCCATGGTTGTTCTCAGGCTTCAACAACACCCCCTACCCCCCTCCTCACCCACCTTCTGTGTTCCCAGGCACTGGGTTGGCTTTGTCTTTTCTGTACTTCCTTCTTGTCTCCTAGCATGCCCTGCTCCACTGTCTCCAGGCACAGTGACCCATCCCGGATGGCTCAGTCTCCCTCCCTTCTTATACAGTCCCAGGCAAACATCCAGATATGGCTTCAGGCCATGAATATAAAAGTTCACATCACCTTTTCTGTCCTGACCTATAAGCTTCAGTCTCC